GGAGCACGATGTCAGCTATGTCGATACAGTCGAGGAAATGCGCGATCCCAAGACGGGCGACCTAGCCAAGTTCGTATACCTTGTGTGGAACAACCAACAAAAGACACAGCATCCCCTCAAGCACGTTTACCAAAAGTGTCCTCAAAAGGTTTTTTTTCTGCAATCACTTGTTGTGACTTGTAACTGACACCCCGCAGATGCTGCAGTACTACGAGAGCCACCTCGTCTTCACACATACAAGTGACGAACCTCCAAATGGTGACAATGATACCACATATGCCATGGAGACAGGCTACTAACTCGCTTCAAGACAAATAGAATACGCAACCCAGTAGCGTGCTCCCCTGAGCCGCCACGCTTCGCCGTCCCATCATTCTGCCCCGAAGATGCGTCTCGACCACATGCTTCCAAAACCCAATTTCCCAACTGTGGCCGTTGCCCAACCTGAAGAAGAGATTAAGTCTCCCACCGTATCTCCCATCACCCCCGTGGAAAGAGTCGATTCTCCTGGTCTACCTTTTGACGACTATTTCCCCCCACTGAACCGCACAAGGAAGATTTTTAGGAAATGTAACTTGGCTTTCATGTGGGAAATGTTGGGATGGTGCGAGATGTATAGAGTAAGTCGTCACAGGGCATTTTCTTTGCATCAAGGCAGACAAGAGAAAGCTTCTCTTGTGTGTATGTGAATCTGGGAACGGCGCATTCTGGATATCTCACTTTTGATGGATCCAGGATCTTTTTTTCTTCCTGTACTTTTAGTTCCATCAATACCGATAATGGTATTTCCAAAATGCGGTCTATGCATATTTTATGCAATCTCTAGTCTCACCCTGCACTAAGAGCTTTTGGGGTTAACAGGCGAAATGGTTCGACCTAAGTCGACTTTTACAGAGACCGAATCCACCATCATGGCTGATTACATGGACATGTAAAGAAAGCATATCAAATCTCATCATTCCCATTTTCACTCATACGATGTTCTGTTAACATATCAAAAATATTCATTTCATCTCAACTCTCTCATCATCACATCCATACAAAATCGTTACGTTACGGGTATATCCCCTCTGAGGCCCTTCCACCTTCAACTTCTTTCCCTTCCTCAATCTCATTATCCCCCTTCCCATTTAGGTCCAAAGGCAAAAAAAAACTCCAGTCGCATAATAGCGTACCCAATACAACAACGCCTAATCCCATGCTAGAATGCAAAATGTATACAAAACATCATCCCCTCTTCACATCCCTTCATCCATCGTATAAACCATCTTTCGTTGTAAAAAAATTTTGCTCGTGAAAACCGTAATGGCACCGCAATCGCGCGGAAAGCGCTGTCGTGAAAAAGTCTCCCGTGAAAGGAGAGAAGTAAAAAGTCGGAAACCCTCTTGCAAACCCTCTGCGAGGAGGTTGAAAGGCCCTGATGGGTGAAGGGTTTATACATTCTCAGTCATATCCGAAACCGACGAGGCGGTGCCACCGACCGCCATGCGCGTCTGCAGATAGTAGATGCCGTATGCGATAGCGGCGATGAGAATGAAGAGGATGAGGATGATGAGGAAGATGACAATGTTGCGCTGCATTTTGGCGTCGGGTTATGTATCTTTTCGATCTCGTTGTTTGATGTTTTGGGTAGTTGAATGGAGCGGTGTAACGTAGGATACTATTGCATATTAGCCAAACGCGCTCAGGAAAGATACAAGTAGTATCAAAAGTAAAAAGATATGCGCACTGCTTGTTTCTTTTATCGCGCGCGATAATGCAATTCCTTAGTTGCTGTAAAGAAGGATTGTCTTCCTCTTCGTCGTGATATGCAAAGCGGGGTCCCAAGCGACAGTCGTAGTCTAATGTATATCCAAGGGTAGTAAGTAGTTCAACCTTGAGATGATGAATCACCACCTGCAGCAAACGAAAGCGTATAGAGCGGGATGAGACAAGTTGAGAATAAGAATGTCAGGATACAAAATGTATTTTTTATTCAAGAAGTACCGCAGAAATGCGGTCTGGCAGCTAGTTTTGTACAAGACGTGGCTGGGCCGGGGGGTGCGTGCGTGCATACCCCGAGGGTGGTTGGGTGGTCGGCGCGGCCATGGCTCGCAGAGGGGCTGGGAAACAACTTGCGTGGCTGGCGTTTGCCCACCGCCCCCTCTCGGGAAGTGGGAATTCAGCGAGGCTGGATTCGAAACTTGATGGGATTAAAAAGGGGAATGGTGGGAGATTTGGGGGCGGTGGGTGACGTGCTGGAAGCAAGACGTGGCACTCAATCTTTCTCTAAGGCGGTAGTCAGGAACGGGGCGGGTGCGTGGATGCAGGATGCGGGAGTGATGCGCAGTCACGTGCATTGTGCTTGGCGCGTTGGATGCAAGGTACATGTTTCTTTGAGTATTAACATGAGACACATTGACGTAGCGGCTATTAGCCTTCGTGGTCCACAGGATTCCAATGCATCCACGAGCAATTCTTGTTAATGAGAATATCATTTCATACCAACATTCTCATCACTATGCTCAAAATCTAATAAATTGCAACAAGAGGGTATACATACAACCACTTGCACCATCACATCCCTACTCTGTCCGCCTCTCCACCATATCACATAAAGATAGTAGCCATCTTCACATCCTCAACCCCCAAATCTCCCAAATAAACACCACAAACTCCGTCATTTTCACAACCATAGTCTCCATCTGAACCACGATTGAAAAGAAACTCCAAAATAGAAAACCCCCAAGCTTACTGATAAAACCTCCACTCTACCTTCTTGCACTCCCATTCCCTTTTAACACTCTCTATCCTATCCGTCATCCATCCGCTCGTCCACTGCCCATCCCCAGTCGACCCACCCAGTCGAATCACCTTGCTAAGATGGCACTCTCCGTCTCCGTGATTGGAGTACCGCCATTGCAGACAATCCTCGATTTGTTCGCACGTCTTCTGGCACACCTCAGGGCTATCTGCGGCATTAGGGTGTTTGTCAGCTAACTTGTCCCAGTTAGGTGGTTCCTTCTTATTATCTCCTTTCTTCTTGTCGTCTCGTTTTTGCGGGTGGGTAGTATGGGTGCCGGCGGTTTGGAGGATGTCATCTTTGTGGTCTTTCATTAGGTGTTCTGGGTCTTCTTCTTTTTCTTTTTCTGGATGCTCTGGTTTCACGATGCCGGGTAGATCGGGTTCACGATCGGGTTCACGTTCGGATTCCTTCAGTGCTTCCTGCTTCTTTCTCTCTTCTTCCTCTTGGTTTTGCTTGGCTTTTTGGGCTTCGTCTTTGATTTGTTGCTGTCTCCCTTCCGGCGCAACAATCTTGGCGTCCTGGCTCATGTTATCCCAGCCTTCCTTGCGCGCTTCGACGTGCGGCGCAACGTGATCTTGGTATGCGTCGCGGAACAGATATGGTGTTTTCCAGCCCTTGGCGCTGGTCCATTTCTTTTCGATTTCCCATTGCCGAGTGAGCTGGTCACCGCTGACTCTGTGCCATGAGACGGCTGGTGCGCACCAGTGTCTCTTGGTGTAGTCGAGACTGTAGGGTTGCTCGGCTTGGAGAAGAGGCCAGGACGAGTAGAGTTCGACGTGTGCATCTGCCATGGCTCTTGCCAACATCAAGTCTCCACAGCATTCATTGTCAACGGCCGGCTCCCACTTGCGAGTGTATTGCTCGTCATAAGACTTTGCAAATCTCCGCAGGGCACCTTGAGACAATAGAATTCCTGGTCCGCGCTGGACCGATTGTGTTCCAGAAATATAGGCCGGGGCTCCGCTGTAGTAGGGTATCCGGTAGTCCAGTCTGGCGATCCACTGCAACAAATTAGTCCAGCTCAGAGCTGTTTCTTCCTCGATGAAGACAAGGAACCTGGCGTGGGGGTTCATGTGATAGGCCTGGTACACCATTGGCAACATCTTCCATTTATCCAATTCATCGAGCTTCGCCGCATCGGGCTTGTGTTGGGCGTCCGCGCGCATGATTCGGTATTCGTGGAACTCGTCATGCGAAAACTTGATGTCGTGGCTGACAGCCTTGAGCGCATCGTGTACTTTGTGGCCCTCAAACTCGCCCTCGTGGTCGCTGAAGATGGCAAAGGTAGGCACGCAGGAAATGAAGGTACGGAAGTGCGCGTTCAACTTTTCAATACTAGCCTTGGATGTCTTCAGCACCACCATGACATCTTGTGCCATTGCAAGGTTCTGGCAGTATCCTTCTACGGCTTGTGTTGAGGGAGGGGCGACGACAGCCGGAGTAGGTTCGTTGTCCGAGTTGTCTGCAGCGGCGCTCTTGTGGGCGGCAATTGTATGGGTGAGGAGCGTAGAGGGTGTAGTAATGCCGTTGTTTGCGTCCTCCCATCGCCCACCATCCTCTTCAAATTCGGCCACGCCCGTCGTGCTAGGGGAAGGGGCAGCTGCATGACCCTTTTCGCTCGGCTTGTTGTGAGCATTCGCGGGTGTCTCGACAGCGGGAGGCGGAATTATCGGGTCGGTATGTACATTCTTGTGATCATAGTGATCTATAACAGGCACTTCTGGTTGAGCGTTTTGAGCAGGAAGCCCGAATGACCAGAAGAAAGTTATGAGCGAGAAGGCGATTACAACGATGGCGAGCCGGGAGGGGGTGACGGTCGGCATGGTGAGGACAGAGGCTCAATGGCCAGGCTTGGAGTGGATAGTTTTACAGAGAAACAATTTCAATACATCCGATTACTATTGTCGCCTCAGGATACACACAGGTGCATTCTGGCGGTTGTGGTCGCAGAAGTCGCATGCCCCTCTGAGCAATGGGTGCTGGGACGGGTGCGTGAGGCGGTGCCTAGCAGGCCGCTCGCCCCCTTGGCTGTGGCGCTCGGTCGTGATGGTGCGCCTACACCGTATCCGCTCAAAAAGGCCCGGCTTTCGTATGCTGTCAGGAAACACTCGGCCCCAGTGGCTTCGCCTTGCTGGTATCGAGCGTGCCTATGAAAAAAAAGCAAATCCCACTCGTGCACCGCGCGGATTCCAGGGGCAAAGCATGCGTGCTAGCTACGGTTGGGCTTCGATACATCATTTCTCTCTGCTAACAACTATGTACAGCCATCTCACCCCCTTCACCATGGTCAGCAGTCGCCTGCTGGGACAATCATCACTGTCAATGTCGGCCTCTGCTTGTCAATAAACTTTAGTCACATCACTATGTGATTACCTGTCCCCTACTCGTCATCCCACACAAACTCGCCTGCCATCCACAACCTCATCACCCAACACGCAACCAGCAGATCGCTCTTCCTCTGGTCCCTTCGGACTGCATCCGTCATCTCCAGCGCCCTACTTTCCCTCTCTGACCCTACCCCATTCCACCTAGTAGCCAGCCCATCCCAACCCCAACTCCCCACCCTCCTACTCTCTTCCCGCCCAACAACTACGCCCTCCGCATCCTCCCATACGCCCTTTTTGATGCAGAACAAAAGATGCTTCTCCGGCTCGCAACTGCCCCTGTAGTCACACCGAGAATGCCGCGCCCGGCACCTGGTGACGTGCCAGATGCGCGTCCACTGCCCGCCCCACAGCGTCTTTCCACTCGTAAGCTGGATGCTACCCCTCAACGCATTTTCGGCCCGTCCCTTCATGTCGAAGTCAGAAATCGTGTACAACGTCCCCTCTTCATCGTAGCGTATGCGCCGATCTTGCGCTGCGTAGATTGCAGGCACGGAACAGGGCCTCGTTTCGTGCGGTTGTATGCGGCGGATGTTGAGGAGGGTTGATGGGCCGCTGCTTCGGTCTAGGGTTTTTTGTAGTTGGTATTGTGGTAGGTTTTGTGATTGTGTCTCGTATATAAAGGGGGCTTGGAGCCTTAGTGTTTTTGATTGATCGTCCAGAGGTAGTAGGTCTGGGAGTATGCTTTTCAGCCTTTCTGATGTGGTTGCAGTAGATCGTGAGATGCGTTCAGAAGCTGGAAAGGTCTTTGATTTGATCATTTGACGACGGGTTGGTGCTATTACTCGTGGTACAGGGGTTTCCGGAGTGTAGGGAGAAGGGCTGCTATTCGGGCGTGTGGAATTCGACCATGTGCTGGTAGGCGATAAAGCTTCGTCTGAGTATGTCTCTTCGCTCGTCGCACTCGCTCTTCGCAGAGCATCGAAAGGGTCCTTCTCTTCGGCGTAGACATTGCTCTTGGGTGTGGTGGGGTATGGCGAAAGCGCAATGCTTTCACCACGCGGTGCAGAGTAGTTTGGCAGCCTGAACATCTTACAACTTTTCGATATAGTACAAAGAAGGTGCTATCGAATACAACGCAAGGAACCCACCCATCTATAAACCCATCTCCTTTGCGTGGTCGTCCCGCACCCCCGGATGTATCAGCCACCACGTCCCCTTCTAAGCCACCTACTTTGAGCCATTTACCCTCGCCGCGAGGACCGCATCGTGGCCCAGTCAGAACCTTGAACCAAACAAGCCCCAGGGTCTCGTAAAGAGTATTCGAGGCGATTGGACGAGTTGTCGCGGATCTTGCGGATTCAGGCCATCAGTAAGCGCATGAATAAGCGCTCGACATGACCAGATGTACGCGAGGTTATCGGCCAAGATACACCAACACCTCATCACATACACTAGAGTGTCTGGGATATTTTTATTGGATTGGATGCGAGAGTTCAACGGTGTGCGCGGGTGTTCTACGCGAAATGGTAGCTTTGCGAGAATGGCCCACTTGGTGGCTATCATGTCGTTTAGAGCACCGTTAACTGCATTGGTAGAAGTTGACGGTCTTTGGAAGCTGACGAGTCGTCTCTTTATTCCCGTGGATATAAGTTCATGTCGTATGAGGCTCTGCTGCTGTGGGCTCATTTTTCGCTTGATGACTGAGCCGCTACTAGGTGGGAAGAAAGAATTGTACGGGACCCAAAAATGAGAGGACCGTCAAGTCCGAGAGAAGGGTTTCCAAAAATCAACTACCTAAACAGATAAGTCCCTAAAGCTCAAAGATAAAGAATTTGAATCAAGTCTGATTCTTTAACTCATCCAAGTGCTTCAATTCACAGCCCGCAAACACACAAACCATCTTCAAGCCCCTCTTCTCACCCTCCTATTCCCGCATCAAACAATCGGCGCAAAGAAGTTAAACCTCCCAAACGGATCGTACTCCCTCTTCAACTTCCTCAACTTCTCCAACCTCCACGCCTCAGGCCCATACAACTCCTCGACCGTCTCATCACCCCTCGCATAATTAACATACGCCCTTCTCGCCTCCCCCGTCCCCTCAGCCATCACATCCCGAATCCTCCCCGCAACCTCCCACGCCTCAGCATCCAAACTCTCATTCCGCTCATACGTCATAAACGGCGAAAGTAGCAACTGGCCCTCGCGGTCGGGGTACGCGGTGCTATCGCTCGGTATAGCGCCCACGCGGTTCGTAGCGTAGCCTTCGAGGAGCACAACGGTTTGGTTGAGCGAGGGTGGGAGAGAGGCCATTATGGTGAGGACTTGACGGAGGGAAGCTGGGTCGTAGGTGGTTGCTGAGACGGGGACGACGGAGCGGGTAAGACCTTTTTCGCAGGATGCACCGGTGCGGTCGGCGCCTGTGAAGCGACTTACGCCTGCGAGATCGGCTTGGCCGGATGTGCTGGTGGCCGGGGATAGGGCGTATAAGGGTTCAGTGTATTGAGTTGGGATGCTAGTACCTTGGTAGATTACGAAGACGACGACCACGGGCTGGGAGAATTAGGATTTGTGGACCTAATAGGGAAGGGAGGGTGTGTTTACGTTGGTTGTGTCAATTTTCGGGTCGAAGTAGAACATTATGTAGTGTTCTAGTTCGACTGATCTGTTGGGACTTCCCAACCAGGTGTTCACGATATTCACGACACTTTCCATTTTATCGTGGGTGAAGGATAATACATCGACGGTCCAGTTATCGAGACTTGGTTCCCGGTCGTAAATTTTGATCTCAGCTTGAGTTACAATGCCAAAGTTGTGGCCAGCGCCGCGGATAGCCCAGAACAAATCGGGATTGCTGTCTTCGCCTACAGTGATGGCGGTGCCATTGGCGAGCACCATGTGTGCAGAGACGAGCTGGTCGGCTGCGAGACCATACCGGCCTTGGTTCCAGCCGTGCCCGCCACCGAGAATAGGAGAGATGTAACCAACACAAGCGCACGCCGTGGTCATGGTTTGCTTCCCATGAGCCCACAAGTAGTCAAGGACCTCGCTGTTGAGAATACCACCTCCGACGAGAGCAGTGTCACCCCTTTCCGTAATCGATATATCCTTCATACCACGCATCAAGATGCCGACGGCATGCTCGACATTGTTGAGATACACCGTAATCGCATGACCCCCTGAGATAGCATGGAAGGACTTGTTGTTTGCATTGGCGTACAGTATCTAGTCGAAAGTAAGCCCCAAGCTACAATGTCAAAAACAAAAAGTCATCTAACCGTCTCTTGCACATCTGCCTCGGTTGCAACTTTGACAATTATGTCGTATTGTGGGGTCTGCCCAGCGCCCCATCGTAACGTTGCATTAGCATATCCTTGTGACCCCGGATAATAGATTTGGGCTGTGGGGCTCAGTGAGGCCACAGATTCTTCTAGTGAGTGAGCCGATGACGGAGGTGTTGCTGAAACGAAGCTGACTGTAAAGGCAGTCCATGCCCACAAAAATCTGCACCACATGTCTACTCGCGCAGAAGGTTAAGCCATAGATACTTTGGATATATAATTCCGCCTCTTAAGAAAATTCCTTTGTTTTTTCTACTTGTTTAATAGTGGGCGCTGTTGTCTGTTCTTATGTCGCCGTTCGTATCCCGTTTCCAGAGTATGAGATGAAAAAGAAACCACAAGTTATATCTCCATCATTTTGGTACTCCTAATGCACGAATAGCAAGCTGAAAGAAAAAAGCATTTCCCTCATAGCATTAAGAGCGAAGTTGAACCGAATAACCGTTTCCTCTATGCTTATCATAAATGCCTGGTGCACCGGATCGCTGCGGTGTTATAGCGCTAACACATTACTACAGCGATCAAACTGATTGCCGTTCGCCAGTGAAAGGCTAATGTTGGACTAAGAACATTCGATAGTGGGAGACTTTCCAAAATCATTGATGAGAGGGATGATCTCGAGTGAAGATCTGGAGTGAACGCCACTAGAACGATTGTTTGGTTCGATGTCAAGGATAAGCGAGAAGTAGCAGCATCTAGTGCACACCCGGGCCGTATACAGTAAGTTAGAAAGCCACTGGCGAGCTGCGGTTCCGTCGTTTTGATGTGGGGATCGCCTTGTTCTGACGAACTCTTATTTACGGCCCGATTGCTTGCGCTACTTACTTGGAATGGGTAGAAGATCATCCTCGCAGCCGGGGAACAAGAAAGACGCGGTTCTCTATTCCATTCGTTGTTTTTTTATCAAGACACGGTAGTGGTGCTGGCTAGTAGGATGGCAAAGCTGAGGTAAACCGTCCTAGGCAGATGTGAACCTCGTGATAACAAAGTTTATCTATGTTTTTCTTCGGTCTGCCTCACTTTTGAGTCAAGCCCCCCGATATCTCGGAGCCCGTGCTGTTCGGAGCCACGCTATTGTCAGAGAGGCTTTATAAAAACCTTGAAAAACTCAGCTGATATTTAGGCTTACAGATTCATGATGTGATTCTAAGTAATATTCACTGCCGTCATCAGTCGACCTGTATTGTGATATACGCACATGGAGGTGTCTGAGATTGTAAACGTTATGCCCACGAGAACGACACCATCCTTGTTGTGACAGGTTCGGAATATTTGCCAAAAGCCATGACATTCGTACCATGCATCGCCGATCCGGCTCGCTTCTTAACTCTCCGCCCTGAGTGTCCATGCTCAGGGTCGGAGTTTTTGGTAGCGAGTCTTATCCCAGCTCCTGCTCTATCATCAAAATGATTGTAGTTGCTGTATACGATAATCTTCTGGCATTGTATGCTCAAAATGAACCTGGATGTGGATCGCGCAGGGACATTGTCACCGACCTCCCCCACGGGCTTAGCATTACGTATACGTAGATTTGACCATGTACTTATTTAAGCGACGAACGGTTTGCTACAGACCCTAGTTTTACGTGTCGCGCATTTAATACGAGATACCGATGTAACACAACGGGCTCGTTCGTACCTGCTTCCGGCTTTCCTGCCTCGCAAATTTCTTGGTATTTTCTTGTATACAGGGAATCTTCAGAATAAATCATTTCGCATTGCTACGCTGTCCCTCGCTCCCGGGCATAAGACGGACAGACAAGCCGGATTAGAATACCCGGACGCCCAAATCCACGCAAAACCGGTGGACGATGTCGACACTCCGCCACGTAATCCATTTATTGAGACACTGAACTTTTCTCAACCCGCGTCATCGAGTTGAGGCCATTGACCGGGGTGAGGCGTCCAAACTGACTCGTCCAATGCAGGTACGTACCACTACCGGTTTTGCCTTTCGGACCGATAAGACAGAAAATGTTTAAGCGCTCTACGCCTACGGAAACAATAATGGCGAAGGTATGCATACTAGGCCTCTCCTGGAAAACAAAATGTGCCTTGGAAGTCGAATATTCAGTTGCCGAGCTGAAGAAACTGGCGTTCTTGCAGGAGCAAGTGAGCCGCGAGGTGCGAGGCATGTGCAAGCATGCATGGGTGCATGTGGCCAGTGGAGTCCGGGCGGAGGTAAGAGATAAGATACAGAATATTACATGCATCCGAGGGGTAAATGTCTGCATATTCTATTCTGATGTTCCAAGCATAAGGGCACTAAGAATGGTAAGCAGGGGTTTGTTGGGTATACGTACATATAGACTTGTTGCTTAATGTGACCCCGTGGATTTGGTGGTGGTGATTATATTCGCTCCATACGCCCGTGCCTCGCCGTCATGCGCTACGCATGGGTTGCCATTCTACAGTCTCCATACGTCTTCATTGGCTGCTGTCGCGTCGCATGTGGAACTCGTCCTGTGATCACCAATGCTCCTTTCTCATGCATGATAGCCGTGTCCGCAGCCCGACGGTCCCGTTGCCTGCATGAGTCGGGCTGCCTGCCGCCGCTGTCAAACTCCTGCCAAACCCATCCATCCTCTCGGTGCGTCTGTAGTCTGAGGATGCGGATCAGCTGACGGTAATTACGATCTACTCGAGGACCGTACCGGTAGGTGCTGCAATGTGAAACTTGGGGACACTAGCATTTCCTAGTCTGTCCATTATAAAAATGCGGAGCTCCTCCCGTAATCGGGACCCTTTGTTCCAGACGGTCCGTTTCCCCACTATACTAGTCTAGGAACTAACCGCAGCGAACACACTACAAGCAGTCATTCACACAACGTGCTGCCCCCTTTACCGAGCGAACGAGGCTCTGAAGTCAAGCGTAAACCCACGCAGCACAGGCCGGACCTGCTCTCTTGGTTCCATCGTCTTGGCACTTGACCGCCGTTTTGATCATATCTTTTGCCCTGTTGTTGTATACTTACATCACAAGTTCACATCTCTCTTACATAACCTTTCTACCATTACTTCGAAAACTGCACATCGAAAGAGCTCAAAAAATGTCGAGAATCGCAGTTGTCTGGTCAGGTTTAACCGACGATGACGAGGAAGCGCAAAGCTGGTACGAAAACAGGCATGTGCCTGCTACCATTGCGAAGATTGAATCTTCAGCGCGCACCGCAGAGCAAACCCCCGAGAATCCATTCCAAGAAGTGAATGAGGTCAACGGCAAGCATATGACCATTTACGACTTGCCTGAGGAAGAGTCGATAGAAGATTTCGAGGCGAAGATTGGCCCGACGTTGGGCGACGTTCCAGTCGGCGCACGCTTGAACACTCGGTCGTACAAAGAGTATTTCAAGGTTCACGGCGATGAATGGAGAGACGGTATGTTTGCCTCACAGGCTCGCCCACATAAAGCAATACTATGAAAGCTGACACCCTACAACAGACCCTCGCGATGTTCGAATGTGGGCCATTGTCCTCTGGCAGCCAAAACCAGAAGTTTACGATGAATTCATAGAATGGTTCATAGGCGATTTCATCCCCGGAATGCTCGACAGTCCCGAATTACTGCGCGCGCGCGTGTTTACGCTCGAGCTTGCAAACAATATCCGAGCCCAAAAGTACGAACCAGTGGACAAAGACTCGCTCCTGAAATTTTTGACCATCTGGGAGTTTGAGAGTGAAGAATTCCCATGGGAAATATTGGTTTATCTGGGAAGTTCAGAGAAATGGCGATATTACATGGAAGGCGGGCTGGTGGTATGTTGCATACGTTACGAAAGATTGAAGATGCAGAATTGCTGACGTTCCATTACAGGATTGGGAGATTGCGCAATACATGGTAAAGAACAACTATCCTGGAACGGGGGAAGAAGAAGATTCCGCGATAGCGAGCCCAGGAGTGCCCTGCCCGTAGTCGCTAGAGAATCGTAAAATAAGCATTCTTGCGGAGGCTGATATTGCATAGGAATATAGGGACGGGGACGAGGACGACGAGGACAGATACAGCGAGGACCAAAGCGGGGACGAGAACAGAGACAGCGAAGATCAAAATAGCGAGGACCAGAACAGAGACGAAGACAAGGACCATCGCAACGGCGTACACCAGGTCAGTGATGAGGATAAGGACCAGCGAAATGGCATACACCGTTTTAGCGAGGATGATGACATAGAAAGCGAACGAGGTTATACCGATCGATATGTGATAAGGTGACGAGTTGGGTGAACGGACCAGCTGCCTGGGGTCGGAACTATAATCTTCTTTTTTTTCTTTCCGTATCATTATCTTTTCTGTGTATGTATACTTTGCGAGCTGGATGCATAGCGCGATACGTAACTGTTTAGTTCTTGAATATGTTCCTCCTGCTTGGAATCCGCGAAGGGGCACTGGATATACTTATTGTTTCTGTGGAGCAGTCCTCCGACTTACTAGCATGCGTGTGCATCGATTCAGAGGGAAGGATTGATGGCCTAGTACAAACGCCGTATGTGGACGGGTAAGAGTTTCAATTTTGGAATGGCCTTGTTTCGGAAAGTGTGGGTCTCAGATGAATGAGTTGGGTCATGGCGATATGCTGCAGGCGTATCCTTTATTAACTTTGATGTTGGATCTGAAATGTTTGATTTTGACAATATTGAGTGATTTTGAACTCGTTTAGAAGTTCCTAGATGATGCTTTAGCCCGCTTCGGGATGCATGATGACGGGCATTTGACGCACAGCGATCACCCATGCAGCCACCCTGTGTGTGGCTCCACACTGCTTGTACAGAACCGACGTCGAAAATGAGATTTGCCGACTCTTGCCCCGTCATACCAGGTTGGACAAATGGACTATCGGACCCTTCCGAAAGAACGGACCCCTGTGACAGTTGATATCCATCTCTCCTTTCCTCCGTCGCAATGTTGTTACAAGCTACAATGGAACGAGCATCCATACCAACAGTTTGGAGCACCGACTGCTTTGGTATTATAGACCTTGCAGGTTTCCGACTAGGTCGTTTTCCAGGAACAGGGGGCTCGTTCGACTGTGGGGTCTCTGGCTCATGTAGGGCGGGCTGTTCTTTTAGGCAAAGTCCTTTGCGATCTCTAAGATCCCTCTGTTGGTCTATGCCCCGAGTAGCTAGAACGCGATTTATATCTTCTTATGACACGATGCACCCCACACAGAATATGTCGTAGAATCTGGAGCATTTTCGTTGTCTGACGCGGAGCAGACTCTTCACTCAATGAGATACCGGGAGACTGCGCGAATGTTGTAGAATCTGTCCCACACTGTTGTTTGAAATGCTTTTTAGACATGACCTTGCTTTTCCCTAGCTCATGTTCTACCTGGGGTTTTCGAGTCATTCGCCTCAAACTTAACCCCTGCCACGATTAACTGTTTTCGGTGCACCCATGAAGCTTGCTTTCTCGTAGTCATCAAGATCGGCACGTTCCACTCTCACGTAGTGGCGTATTTTGTGGCCTGCACAGGTTCGTATCTCGTACCCGGCTTTGTAGACGAACAATCGACCTTTCTTCTCACTCGTGTCTGCTCCCTACGCAAAAATATCGTGGGTGTGCGGCATCAGTATTCGCAGGCTCCTTTAGGTTTGGGGATAGAAGAGTCCTGAAAGCACCGCACACGCCGTATCTGGCGAGAGCTTCGAATGCTAAAGACTTGCTGAGTGAACAAGAGCGAGCGATAAAAATGCTGGTAGTATGGGGTTGCTTACCATGTGGATGCCTGCTAGCCTCCGTACGCATTTGGGATGCGCATAGCTACTGCAATGGTGACCTAAAATGCAAATGTGATCATCTTTACTATCAAACCGCGCGTGACAAGGAAGTAAGAGTAATGTCATGTCTCGGAGGAAGCAACTGGCCCTTGGTATACCTGGTTTCCTCGTACTGTTCTCAAGTCAATATGATAACGACACTTTGCTGAGAGAAGATGGTCGCATCTTCTGATATGTGCAACAGCGTAACAGCTTCATTGCTCGAGCAAAGGAAGAGGCCAAATGTGAGTGTGCCTCATGAGGCTGCAGTAGTTCCTCGGGATATCCCAACGGAAAATCCGGTGCAATGACTGCGATGGAAGAGTCAGAAATATATGATACACCCATTTCGAGAACTTAGGGGAAGTGCTCTGGGAGTGATGTTGTCGTTCCTTATGTTGGTACCCCACTCCGTACGTCATAAAAAATCATGTTGACCTAATCCCTAGCGCCTGATAGGCTTGCCCTGATTTAAGGGTTTCAGGCTCATTCCAACAAGCGATGAAACCCTATTCAGCGTTGTGCTTACTGAAGCCAGTCCAACAATGCATTCAAATGTGAGCAGTACGAGGAATTTTGCCTTGACTGTTGGATAAATTAACGGTCCTTCAGGAGCACGCAGATAATTGTGATACCAAGCCAGAAAAAATAAATAAGAGGTACGATCATTGATGTACCATTCTCAATGGCCGGGCGGTACACTAGTCTTCAAATTGCAGTAGTATGAAATTGGATACAGTGTAAGATCGTAAATTCATATTAATAAAACATCTCACGGTCGGACACATTAGCGCATTGCAATCAGCTCCCCCCACCAGCACAAAGCCTTTATGACTCTCTCAGCAACACAGTATTCGTGCATAGTTTCTTCGCAACCAAAATTCATGTTCAATGCAGGCCTCAGCAAACGAGCGACGGTACTGATTGAGCGAAAAACCCAAATCGTTATACGAGCAGGTCTACTATTTTCAGCCTATCCAATCTCGTCAAATATTTGCATTACTCTTCAGGGTCACGTCCACCACGCTTCCTCATTTCCTCTAGGTACTCCTCCTCGGTCTCAAGATCGAACGGTACAGGTCTGGTAATAGGGTTGATTGAAGTCTTATGTTCTTCAAATTGTTTAAGACGCCGAGCAGTTTCTGGCTTGGTAGTGTTGACGCTGTAGAGCTTGACGCGGCTATCGAACGTGTTAGTGTGATAATCTTGAAAACTAGCGACGAGATTCTTAGAGGGAAGGCTTACTGGCAGGAGGATGTCACATGAAGATCCCAGTTCCTATCTAAAGTTAGTGCGATTCCATAACGGCAGAGGTAGTAATGCTTACCATGCGCTTCGTACAAATGTCGGCTGGGTCTAGAGTTCATGTCAGCAAATGGTCGGTCCGCAGCAGCAGAACAAAATGCTATCCGAGATGGTTAGAGGCATATTTTCCGAATCACTTACGTTCAAAGCATCATCCCAGCAACGCACACAAAACTCGCTGAGGGATCGTTAGTCTCAGTTACCAAAAACATGATGATCGGAGAACTTACAGCCAACCCTCTGCATCGACAGGGACATCCATCCACCAGGTGCGCCAGGCGTGGAAGTACTTTTTGCTCAAATTCTCATATGGTACTTCATACCAAACACCACCTCCATCGTTGCTGACTTCGACTCGCTCCGGCCAGCCGCTACCACTGTATGCCCAGCCAGTCATGCGAATCTTCCCGTCATGGACAATGACATCTTTGTCGACCGGTGTCATGATAGCGCTGGATACTGGCATGGTCTGAATGCTGAAGCCATTGCTGTACGTTACGTTCTGCTTTCCCTTTTGAGGAGTGTAGTACAGATATTCCTTCATCTGTACCGGGGCCAGTGACGGGTTCTCAATGACGTTGATGCGTGTTAGCCATTTGCAGCTCCTTGCTCCAATGTACCCCATCACAACTGCACGGAGGGGTGCTCCGTGAATGGCAGGCAGTGGCTCCCCATTCATCTCCCATGCAAGAATGACCTCATTGATGTTGACCTTGCGGGTTGGTACCGACACAGCGTAGTTGTACACCTGTCCCTTCTTGAAGTATGTGTCGGCACCAAAGAACTCCACATGCTTTCCCTCTGGCTTTATACCACAGTATCTAAGAACCTTCTTCAGACTAACACCAACGTAGCGAGCGGTGCCAATAGCGCCTTCGGCCCAGGGTGCGTTGATGAGTTCGTCACCGTCTCCGGGATAGTCGCGAATTTGCTCGATACGACGCGTCCCACTGCATTGTAGGGTGACCACGGTATTCATGCGTGGAAATATGCTTTCATCCTGAAGCTCCTTCAAGGTTATTTTCTTCGGCGTGTCGACCAGACCTTCAACTTCGAAGAAGTACTTTTCAGGATCAATCTCAGGGACACCACCATGATTTCGGATGTAGTGGTCTTTGTTGTCGGTGATCTCGGTCTCGACTAATCGCTTTCGGGGTGGCTCGCCATTGTAAGGAAACTCCAAGACGTGCAACATATCCTCGCTTTTTTCCTTCTTGACATAATTCCATGAGATGGCTGGCAGGTCCCTTGTAGTCTTTCCCAAAGCGTAGTGGTAGTACTTCCAGCGCACACCCTCGAGCAAAGGATTGGTCTTGGGGAGTGGGAGCAGTTGGAACTCTGGCGGTACAGGGAAATCATATTTCGCTAGGATCTCTGCCGCCTTCTTCTTCTTTTCAGGGTATCTCTCCCATTCAATGTAACCCTTCCATCCTTCTCGCTCTTCGGGAAAGTCGGGTTCCTCAGATGTTAAAAGCACAAAAGGCTCTGCATGCGGTTCAGCCGGCGCCATTGTCAATGTACAAGGTGTGAAGGTGGTAACGTTCAGAAGTACCCAGTGTTAGCCTGGGGAAACACCCACTAAGTACCGCGATACTGATAGCCCCGCCAGATCGAGTACCACATGTCACAATAACAGGTTAATTGCTCATTAAGCGTGGGGTATGCCACTTTGTCACAGTGCTTGCTGCAGGTAATCCATGTATGGCGCTCGACTAGCAGATGGAACCTTTGCGCGGGCGAATCAGAAGTTCAATGAAATTTGTAATGCGACATACGAAGCAGACTTTTGATATACGACTGCGTCACGATGATGGGTACTAGGATAGCTGTTGTGCAGGGGTTGAGCCATGTCAACCAATGGTGCTAATCTCTGTCAACTGAATCAACAGCGGAAGATATCTAAGGAGCATCCAATAGGCATGCCATTGCTGAATAAGAATTGATGAAGCTTGGCGCGAAGTCTTGTACGCGTTAAGCGGGGGGTGACTTCATGGGTAACTAATGACATGTATGACGTAGTTGCTCGACGATGTGCAAATACTCTAGCAGGGAGGTCCGTAGCATCAAAGCGGAGGGAACAACGAAATAGGTCTAGAGGAGAAAAGGAGATATAACAAGAAACATAACGATGGCCGTTGAAGTTACGGCGCATATGGAATAGCAGTGGAAGAATTGGCACGGCAATGGCTCCCGCACATGTTTCTCGGCGACATGCATGACGCTAGTGCCGCTATGACTTCTTGTGAACATGGCCCGGCCGAAGGTTGAACACTACGGCGCTTGCTGTCGAATCCAATTCGAACAAAAACTCCAAATATACAAAACACTAAACTTCACAATATAGTGTTTGCTCATCGCTTTTGTCCTTGCTCAATGCTAGCTTCTCTTAATGTTTCGAGGGTTGTTACTTGCATACCACCCTCCTGTTCTTTCAACTCATTTTACTGCAAGAAGGAATGTGTCTTTTCGTGATGGCATCTACAAATAACATGCTCCCGCAGAATTCCGAATGTTTATCAGGCCTGGTATCGAGACAAGTCTCTTGACATTACAGAGACAAAGCAGAGCGACCATGCCACACAGCCACGCACGTTAGCGCGTCCCTCTGAAGCTCCGATAGGGTGCCAAACCGTTGCAATACGATGCAATACGTCCATCTGATCAGATGGCACACTTACTGAAGAGCAGACTCAATGAAAGATGCCGCACGTCTTCCTTTTGCTTTTCATCGAAAACCTATCAGCATCTACAAGAAGCCGTAGGCCACTGCGATCTTGCGAGCTATTCTATCAGACAAACACAAGACAAACCTCAAAATATCTCTCTCAATTACTGCTCGTGTACTGCTTGTTCAGGTGGCATCTGTAATGAGG